TTTTCTCTACTGGATACTGTGGGTACAGCTGTGAACACCACAATTATGGCCTCTGCCTTTAAGCTTATTTTCTAGCTGAAGAAGAGAAATAATAAGCAAGTAAAGTACTAAGCTAGAAATATGATTTCAGGCAGTTATAAGTGCCATGATGGAAGTCAATTGAGTGTAGTGATGAGTAACTAGTGGGGAAGCTACTTTGGATGGTATTGTCAGAAAATTATCTGAAGATATTTTATTTGGTTTACTGATACAGGTGTGCTTTTTTGGTGACTTAACTTCCTCTGTTGCTCTTAGGAAGAGATTTTTCCAAATGGTGAACATGTTTTGGTACAATCTTCTCTTGATATACCCAGTGGTTCCAGTTTAGGAAAACTCAGTGTACCTTAAAAACTGTGCTGTATAGGTGAAGCAGTTAGGTTTTTGACCTGCAATGTGATCCACAGGGTTTTCCAATGGGACTATTCACAGTTCAGGATGCCAGAGCATTTTCTATTGTGGAGGGGAATCTTGACAATGCATAATGTTTAATATCTCTGGCCCAAACCAACTAAATTCCAGTAGAACCCTTCAATTACTATAATAACCAGCCCCCTCACCCCCGCCCCAATCTCCAAAGTACCCTCAAAAGATCAGCATAGCCCCTATTGAGAGCCATGGTTTTAAAGGTCTTACTCTTTTCATCTAGTTGTTATTCTCACTCTCTGGAACCTTTGACACCATAAACTAGACCTCCTTGGTTTCCTCTCCTCTCCTGTCTTCCCATGGCATTGCCCTCCTTGGTCTTTCCTCCTCTCCTTGGCTCCATCCCTGCTCAGTTCTCCTGACCTGGCCTCTTGTTCTTTACCTGCCCATCCATGTAGATCTGACCTTCTTCTTCCCTCTCCATGTTTTTCTTTGAGGAAAACTTTACCACTTATAGACAACTAACCTCTCAAAGTGATGCTTCTATGTTATTGGAGTTCATTTGTTTCCAACTGTACCAGGACCTCCGTAAGTGGCCCCAAGTTAAACATGTCCAACTGGTCAACTTTCTCAAACACCTGTTATTTCTTTAGACATGTCTATTTGTGGTAATGGCAGCATCATCCACTCACTCAGCCTAAGCATGGCAGCCATCTGGACCACTCTGTCTCACTCCCACATCCTGCCACTTGCTATGCTTGGTCAATTTTAAGGAAGTGATTGGAGCTGAATATTCAGGAGAAGTCATGCCCAAATCAGAGTGGTGGTGATGAAAGTCAGTGCCCTGGGAAGAGCCACTCTGATTCCATGCTTCTGGTCTTCTATTTTATTTTTAAAACGTTCTTTGGGCTAGGTCAGTGGTCGTGCAAACTGCGGCTCACGAGCCACATGCAGCTCTTTGGCCCCTTGAGCTATGTTGTACAACAACGTGCAACAACAAAGGCCAGCTTAGGAGTACCCTAATTAAGTTAATAACAATGTACCTACCTATATAGTTTAAGTTAAAAAAAATTGGCTATCAAAAGAAATTTCAATTGTACTGTTGATATTTGGCTCTGTTGACTAATGAGTTTGCTGGCCACTGGACTAGGTTAATTTTTCTAGACGCTGGGCCTATTACTCTGAGCTAATTTGTTTTTCCAAATTAATTACCAGCAGGGGTGGCAGCCTCATTTTTGCAGAATCCTTCTCTTTTGGAAGGATGGCCTTTTTCATTCAAACAGTCCAATTTAGGTCTTTTGGCACAAAGTTTAAAGGGTGCCTTGACATTTCCATAAAGGCATTTAAATGTTACTGTCTCTGAAGAAACAGTTTTAGCATATGAAACCGTTATCTTCCCCCCCCCCCCTCCAAGGAATAAAAGCATCACCAGCTTAATGATCTCTGTAAAATAACTTCCTCATTTGCTTAGCTTGTTGCTAGTAGAAAAAGATAGTGATTACTGTTTTACAAAAACAAAAAATGCTTATAGATAATTTCATGAAATTTTCTTTTGATTTTTTGTCTCTGTAAATAGCGCCTCAATTCAGAGGCCAAAATGCATTTAGGGTTAATATGTGCTTCTTCCCAGTTGATTTTTTAAACATCTTCTATGAGAGCAAATACAATGGAAAAGATGCTGCTTGTGGTTGTTTCTCCACATGGAGAAGAAGCCAGAAAACACACATAATAAAATCATGTATCGTGACACACATAATAAAATCCTATAACATGAACTCTACTCTGTTGACGTATTTTAAGTTTACAGTCTAGTGTTATTAACTGTATGCACGTTGTTGTACAACATAGCTCTAGGACATTTTCATTTTGCATAAATTAAGCTCTATACCCATTAAGTATCCACTCTCAATTTCCATTTCCCCAGTTCATGGCAATCACCATATTCCTCTGCTTTTATGAGTTCAGTTACTTTAGAATCACAAAGTACTTGCCCTTATGTGACTGGCTTATTTCACTTAACATTTGGCCTCAAGGTTCATCCATGATATAGCATAGCAGGATTTCCTTCTTTTCAAAGACTGATATTCCATTGTACGAATATACCCTTTTTCTTTATTTACATGCCTGTTGATTGATATTTAGGTTATTTCTGCCTTTTGGCTATTGTGTATGATGCTGCAGTGAACATGGGAATGCAAATATATCTTTGAGATTGTGTTTTCAAGTCTTTTGGATGAGTACCCAGAAGTGGGATTGTAGATTATATGGCAGTTCTATTTTTAATATTTTGATGACTCTCCATAATGATTTCCATAGCAGCTGCACTATTTTACATTCTCACCAACAGTGCACAGGGTTCTAGTTTCTCCACATCCTTGCCAACACGTTTACACACACAAACACACACACACACACACACACACACACACACACACGCATGCACACACATTTATAATGACCCTTCTAGTTATGGCAATCAAAAACATATCAAGCTGCCAAAATCTTCTGGAGGACAAAATTACTGTTAATTGCGTAACTCTGATCTAGATGAAGAAAACAGTCTGATGAAGAATAATGGGCCAGCCAGTTTGGCTCAATGGATAGAGCGTCTGAAGGGTTCTAGGTTCAATTCTGGTCAAGGATATGTACCTCATATTGAGGTTGCAGGCTCAGTTCCCAGGCATGTTTGGGGTACGTGCTGGAGGCAACCAATCAATGTGTCTGTCTACCTCACATCAGAGTTTCTCGCTCTCTGTTTCTTCCTCCTTCCTTCCACTCTCTCTAAAAGGCAATGGAAAAATATCCTTGGGTGAGGGTTAACAACAAAAACAAAATCCAAACTTTGAAAAAAAAAAAAAAAAAGAGGAATGCAAAATATTTCCCTAAAACTACAAAAAGGGTGAGATAGAAGAATTTAGAACCATGGTCTATTTGTCCTAAGTAGGTCAAGGTCTCCTCAAAGGAGTCTTTATCACCAGCTAAGTTTGGAAAGCAGTTCAAAAAGCAACTGAAATGGCCAGTGCTTGGAAAATGCTCGGTTAAGAATACCAATATGAGCTTAACCTACTGTGATGGGCACAAGAAGCAAAACAGTTCAACACTTCAGCAGAACCTGAGGGGACTTTCTGAGTTTGAGGTCTGGCTAGGAGTTGGAAAGCTGGAAACAAGCTAGAGGTTCTAGTTCCCACTTGAGCAAGGGTTTATTTTTTCTGCTTATCTGGATTCAGAACCGACACAGACAGGGTGATTTTTGAGAGCACTCACATGTTTCTCATTGTTTGGACAGGGCCAGACAAAAACGATCCAGTTTCATTGCAAATTGGCAGTAACACATGTTTTTGAAAGTTAAAAACAGCATAACACTCATGAGTGAATCTCAAGGAATGTTATCTTCTTGTCCTTTGGAATAAACACCTGTTTTGAGATGAGGAGGGTAGAAACCATCTTTGGTTAAGGAATTATTCGTTCTCTCTTTTTATTGCGAAGATTATATTTAGAATAATTAAAAATTTGAGCACAATTAAAAATATAATGTGAATAATCATAACTAAAGAAACAACAACAAAAAAGGTAGCCCATGTTTCCTCAGGAATTTCAGTTATGTCTGCTTAGCTGAGTTTGTTTCCTGACTTGAAACACAAAGCAAATACATTGATCCTTTTCTCCTTTAATAGAATTCTTTTTAGTTAGATATATTTTTTGACTTGATTGGAGGGAAAATGTGGTCTACATCCTTGAAAGGAGATGGAAGTTCTGCTGCTATCAGTGACCTGTGGCCACAACACATATATTCAACAGCCATCAGTGCCCCTGAACACGATGTAATAAGGAGACCATCTGGCAGATAATGGATAACTTTTTTTTTTTTTTTTTTTTTTTTTAAGAATATAGAGTTGCAATCAAGAGATCAGGGTTCATTTTTAAAATTTTATTTCAGAGAGTAAAGGAGAGGGAGAGAGAGAAATATCAGTGATAAGAGAGAATCATCAATCAACTGCCTTCTGCATGCCCCCTACTGGGGATCGAGTTCACAGTCCGGGACATATGCTCCAACTGGGAATCCAACCATGACCTCCTGGTTCATGGGTCAATGCTCAACCACTGAGCCACGCCAGCTGGGCTGAAAATAATATTCTCACTTATCAACGAATGTTCTACTCTTGAGAGAAATGAGCACTGAGTCAAAAATATGTTTCTATGAAAAGACTTTACTGGGGAATTTTGTTCTCTGGTTTGAATTCATTCATTCATCAAACAAAGCAATTCCTCATGATCAAACATGCAACAATCAGAGCACAGCAGGATACACTTTCAAAAGGAAAACACACTTCTCACTGCTTGTGAGTTCTGACGTATGTATCTGGAGCGTCAGAGATAACTGTTAAATCTGGGGATCGTGAAGGAGGGTGCTAGGAACAGACTCTTCATAGCCTTTCCAGAAATCTTCATTTCAATTATACCCCAAGAGACCCGCTCCTACATCCCATCTGTCTGTGCCCCACTTTCCTGTGAACCCCAAGGTGCCTCAAGGGCAGGCTGGTCCAGAGTGGGTGGAAATGGGACACATTTGACAGCAGTCCTTTCTCTCTGCCCCTCAGGTTACCATGGCCTCTACTGTGAGGAAGAGTACAATGAGTGCCTCTCTGCCCCGTGCCTGAACGCGGCCACCTGCAGGGACCTCGGAAATGGCTATGAATGCGTGTGCCTGGCCGAATACAAAGGTGAGTGACCGTTGGGCCTTGTTGCGCCAGATTAGCCACACGTGTCCTCACAGATTTCTCAACTTAAATGGGTAAACCTTTCATGGGAGCAGAAATTGTTTTGAATAAAAATCAAGTAGTTGTGGTGGTGGGATGATTTATGGGGCCAAGGAGACCAATTGGCAAATCTCAGGTTTTCTGTTAATAAACTGAAAAATCTCTCTCCTGTTCTTTGCTTCTACATCCTCACCTCTTTGTGGAATATGCAAAAAGTCAAGGACAAGGATTGCTAGTAAGTGGGCCATCAGGCATAGATCTGAGGACACGGCTGTGGAAACGGTGGGAGAGGGGAGCAGCTAGCTCCGTGCTTGCTGGGCAAAGTTAGGATGTTGTGCTTTTGGGTGGAGGATACAGGTGGAATCTCACGTATTGGCATATAAGTGAATTCTTATTAAATGATTCAGTTGGGAGGGAAATGTTAGTTCATTTGAGTGAATGCCTGTCAAAGTCACTCGGGAAAAACATTTGACACTGACCAAGTGTTTTTTAATGTGTAGACTCTGTTTTAAGCCTTTCTGTGCCTTCACTCATAAATCTTCTCTCTCACCCTGTGAGGTGGTAGATAATGATATCCCTCATGAACCTGGCCAGCATGGTCCCTGATACCCTTGCATCTGTCTCCCCCATGGGCTCGGACCACAGTTGGTGGATGATGAGGTTTCATTGGAGCCCAGATACCCTCAGACGACACTGGTCCAGGAAAGTCTGTTTATCAGCTGCTGCCCACATTTCTCTAAGCCATAACTTCAGGGGTGGGTTTAGATTTTTAAAATGCTTTTGTGGGCCGTACTTATAACCATTTCATATAACCTCTTGCTCCCTCCACTGCTTACTTGATTGATACCATCCATCTGCCTGGCGACCTTCCATGGCAGCCCCTGTTGCTTCTCTGTGGATGGGCCACAGGGATGAACTTGATCCAACTCCTGGATAGAAGGGCTGAAGCTGGGCCAAGTCTGTGCACTGTGTTTGGCAGATTTGATGCTTCTTGGCCTGTGGTGCCCATTTAGAGCTAGACTCCACGGGCTTCCACAAGGGCTGATGTGTTGGATTCATCCAAATGGCTTCTGAGTTCTAGGTTTGTCAGAGCATTAGAAAATATGAGTGCTGGGAAGAAGAATAAATGAGCAATGAATCCAGAGACCTAAGTGACTCATCCAGGTCTTGCCACTGGCTTCCTGGTGAACATGGATAAATCTCTTAAATGGACTGGCCTTTATCTTGCCTGGGTAAAGTTAAGGACAGGGATGTTTATGGATATCTTGAGATTCTTTAATGACAAAATTGGTAGTGGTGGATGTACTTCAAAAATTTTAAATTCCATAACTCTTTAGTTTATGATAGAGTATATGATAAAATTTTATGAAACAAATTTCATCATTATAAATGACCAAGTCATTACGAGGGTATATCCTGAACATGCCCCAAACATTCCCTTTTTTGAGGTATTGCTCGTGTCCTTGTGACTAAGAAGCAAAAAATACAATTGCACAGTGACTGACTAGTGTCTCTACAAATTTATGGACTGTGACTTGCTCACCTCCCCCTTTCATTTTTCTCAGTGGGTATTCCCAACTTTTCCCTCTTATCCCAAGCTCCATAGTAAATCACCTACTTCCATCTTAATGGCATAAAAGAAAGCTCATCATTTGTAAACATTTTCAAATTTATCTAATTTTCCACATTCCATGGTAGTGGTTCTCAAACTTAAGTTTATATCAGAGTCTTCTGGCAGGCTTGTTAAAACAGATTGCTGTGCCTCACCCATAGAGTTTCTGATTTAGTATACTTAGGATGGGGCCCAGGAATTTGAGTTTCTGGTAAGTTCTCAGGTGATGTTGCTGTGCTGGCCCATGCATCTACAAACTTCCCTGAAATCACAACCACTTAAACCTTATTTTATTCCTCATTAGGTGATCATGGCTCCTCATCATGCTCAAGGTTAAGCCTTCCTTGTATGTTCTAAATTCCTTCCTGTCTACCTTTCTGTGACCTCTTCCCTCATTTACTGACTGACTCTTCTGGGGATGCTTCAAGGAGGTAGATGGCCCTGAAGGGGATATCAAACACATCTGACGGTTTGGGTTCTTAAGAAAAGGATGCAGATGCTGGGTGCCTTTGCATACAGCAGGTTTAGGGGACAGGGTTCTGAGGAGAATGGAGGATTCAATGACTAGCTGAGCCCAAAGGACTCCTCAGCCTGTGGAGAGGCCATACATGCCATGGATGTGCTACACGTTACTCCATGAGGCAGAGGGCTCTGACTGAGTAGATACTGGCTGTCCTTAAGGAGAATTGCATAGTGGAGCTGAACTGGTCCTTTTTTTTGTATGTGTGTGTGTGGCTAGGAGAGAATGGTCTCCTGTTCATTCCTGGAGAACCCCAAGAGGGAAGCCTCTACCCCAAGTCTTAGGACCATGTTGGTTGGCCCATCTAGGACTGGAGGAGAATCCCCGGTATTATCTGTCTCTGCCTGGCATTGCTAACTTCCAGTCTGGCCAGTACGGGGAAGCCTGGGCCAGCAACCCAAAGAGAGGAAAAATCTAGGAAATATAAACAAAATTGCAATAATAACAACACTAAACACTCAAGAGAAAAAGTGAAAAGACTGGTATATGCTACTCAACATTAAATTTAGATCTGGGAAAGTAAAAGGAGGAACTAATTCATGTTCGAAGTAAAAGCAAGAGGAAATAGAAACCATGAGTTGAAGGATATGAAATGTGGAGAAAAGATTCAAGAACTCTGCTTCCATTTGAGGGCTGGGCACTCCAGAAGAAGGAGGAAGGAAACATGGATATGAAACCAGAATGGACCCATTACTAAAAGGAGAAGTCGATGAGCAGAAGACCATTGACATTTTCAAATAGAATGGGCTTCCCCAGTGCCAGAGGATTAATGAAGGGGAAGACACATAATTTGAGATTTCCTGGTGGAATTTCCAAATCCAAGGAAGGATAAAGAGAATTGTTTTTATAAGGGAATACAGATTACATACAGAAGAAAGAATCAAACCAGCTTTGGACTCATCTTCTCTGTAATGAAATTTAATAATAGTGAAGAAGTGTTTTAGACTTTTCAATAAAAAGGACTGGTAGTTAAAGGATCACTGATGTTTGAGAGCAAAAGAAAGACATTTTGTACACTTCAAGATACAGAAAATATAACACCTTCTCTCAGAAAATTCTTTAAAAAATATTCTCAGTAACTAAATCAGAGCAAAGATAGCCAGATACAGGAAGGTAGAGAACAAGAGGAATAGGGTTGAAAAGACTGCTTTAAATGCAGAGAAAAACTTAGATATGATATTGATGTGATTGTGAATGATAATTCAATGGTGAGGAAAAGTCTTCTGAAAAATAGGTTTACTTTTATATTGATTAGTATTGTTGCATAAAGAATTAGTATGAAGTCATTGTTTGAAACAACACCATTTTATTACTTAGCAATTTTATTCATCTAAGTCTAGCTTAATGGACTCCCTGCTCAGGGTCTTACAAGTTGACTGGGCTGAGTTGTCATCTGAGGCTTGAATAAAGAAGGGTCAACTTTCATGTCCCTTTGCATTGTTGGACGAATTCATATCCTTGTGGCTGTAGAATTGATGACTGCTTGCTTCTTGAAGGTCAGCAGTTATGAGAGAGACTCTGCTGCTTCACGTATTTAACTTTAGGAGAGGCCTGCACCTCTTAATGTCTCACCTGATTAGGCCAGGCCCACCTATGTTTGACTCAAAGTCAACTGATTAGGACCTTAACTGCATCTTCAACATTTCTTTCTTAACTTTTGGAATATGCTATTGGCTAGAAGCTCATGCTCAAGGGGAGGGAAGTATACAAAAGCATGACTCATTAGGGATCACTCTAAAATATGTTTTTCATACCTCTTATTGAGGAAAAATTAAAATGACCACACTAAATTTTCATATAATTTAAACCAAATCTATGTGTTAAAGGGAATGGGGGTAGGAAATATTAAAAGACATAAAAGTGTTACATATGTCATCCCAGTGGGCAGGTAAATTGATTATTTAATTTTGGTGCACTTATAGAGACATTTTAGGTTCAGGTTTAAATAAGACTGCTGGAAAGAGGAAGGTGAACCCTAGAAAACTAGCAATAAATAGAACGTCTAAATGAAGCATGATAGGGAAGTGGTGGTGGTGGTGTACAAGGGATTAAAAGAGAAGCAGAAAGGGCTAAACCAGGCTCTGCAATTCAGAGAAGAATGAGGGAGGAGAGGAGAGAGGTCACAAGATTTTTGTGCTTTTCTCTCCTTGAAGAATGTACATTCTCTCCTTTTTTTGGAAGCATTTCACCTGATATACTTTCATATAAGATGTATGTATAAAATTAGGAAATTTTATACATACATCTTATCAGATGGGTGGGCTTCAGTTACTAACTAGTTAGAACTTGCATAGGTGGTGTGTTGGCAGGGAGGGTCACGACTTTAACTTCTTGTTTTCCATATGCATTTTTAAGTGATGAGCTTTACTGTTAAAAATTAAACAAATGAAGATGATAACTGCCTAAAAAGAATGGGCATAATAGGAAGTGAGGCAACTACAGCTAAGAACACTTTGCAAAAGGGAATCAGTGAGTGGAACTTTTGCCAGATGTTAAAACCCATTTAAATGCTCCAATTATTATTATATTCCTATGTTACAGGTGCAAGATTGGACAGCTGACCCAAATTGAGGAACGGTCCAGAAACCCTTGTCGATAATAATAGACATATAAAAATGTGCGATTCTTGAAGAGGGCTTGTTATGAATGAGACATTTTTAAAAAATGGTGCTAGAAAAATTGGGCTGCTAAACAGAAAAAATAAATGTTCTCACACTTCTAAATAAATTCCATATGGATTTAAAAATCACAACTTGACTCTAAATATAGTAATCCCCCGTTTGTCTCTCTTTCAACCAAATTTCCTTAGAGTTGGTATAGACAGCACCTCTA